ATTGTATATAATTTTAAAGCACTTTCTGCTGAAATTAATATATTACCTTTAACATTAAATAAAATTAAAAAAATCATGAAGGAAACATTGTCTTCTAAATAAAGGGTGAGATTGAGAGAAAAAGACAAGGTAACGACGCGACCACACCAAATCGGTCGTTACATGAAGTGGCACATTTCATCGTTATGTAACGATGGATTTAACGATACGATACAATAAAATTTAAGTAACAATCAAAACAAACATTGTATTTAAAGTAACAATACGATACGATACAATGGATAACAACCATCCAAACAAGCTGTAAAGAAACACACATGATGGACTGCAAAAAAAAAAATAGCTAATAAAAGTATTTTGAATAAGTTGTACCTACACCCAAGTTCACTATTTTCTTTTAAGGGATTGGCTATATCTCGAGGATATTGTTGGAATACGCATGTGTTCATCTCAAGCCCCCTGGATAAACTGACAACATTTCCATATAGTTCCTTCCAAGCTCTTCATTAAGCAACTGTATTATATGGCATCTCAACTGCAGAAAAGAAAGGGATAACCATAAGAAAAGGATCAAATATAAAAAAAAATTAAATCTCCCTTAACTGAACCTTATGCTCCGCCCTCACAAACCCAAAAAAAAGAGAGACAAAGAAAAACACGATAACACATTTTTGGGCATTTGCAGCTCATTAATTGCATAAATTCAAATGTGTACGACATAATTAGAAAAATTTAAGACTTAAGGATTTTAGATAGTACAATTTATCCATTATCACAGAGATAGAAGATAAGATGGTTCTTTTCTGCTTTCTGTAAAAACTTTAGTGATTGTTTATCCATGACTAACAGAATATGCTAACTATACCCTCTCTAAAATTCGCTCTTGATTGAATATTGTTCCACAATTTGAAAGAAGGATTGATGAACAAAATCGAGAATGACCATATATTGGGTATTTACAATTACTTTTATTCTCCTATCAGGCAATGAGTGCAACCATAGTTGAGCAGGAGTAAGATGAAAAACATATAGCTAAAAGGGCAACATTAAGTCCGCCCTCGAATCACCTACTTTTTTGTTATTTTCATTATTCTGAAATTAAACTTTCCTAACAGTAATAGAAAACCATGTAAGAATTAAAGTTGATAAAATAATCGATGTCTAATTCATTAACCAATTGGCTGACGATTACTACACTGGGTCTCTATTAAAGATTCCCTTTTTGTAGTACCCTTTATCTTCAACACAACATTAGATACTTTTCAAGGCGACCCAATGGTTCAGGAGAGGAACACAGAGTCTCAGTTCTCTGTTTGGGCTCTCTCAGACCTTCTAAAAGTCCTGACTTCCTAAAAGTTCTGACTTCACTGTATGTAAAAGGGGTTTTTCCCTACAACCTCGAAGCTAACTTCCATTCAAATGCAGATGCAATTCCCAAGTAAACAGCCAAAAAAAATTAAAATAATGGTAAAGTGTTATGCAATTTGCGTATCTACCAGTATACGTACTTTCCTAAATAAGTAAAAGAAGTGAATACGAAGTTCAACAAAGAGATCTCAAATTAGCATAAAACCCAGAGTGAGCAAAACTCAGTATAAGAAATCCAACCAAAACGAACACATGCATAGCTTTCGTTGCAAAAATTGGAAGTGAAGAATCTGATAACTACCATTTTCACCCAATCAAAGATCATCAACAGAAACAACTCACACTTTAAAAGAGTGTGGAATATAGAGAAGCAACTCACTGAAACATATAGAACCGGCACTGAAAAACCGAAGAAGAAAGAGCAGTGCAAGAAAAAGTTGAAAAACTTACTGAAAAGATAGATTGCAGAATTGCAGAGAGCATAGGAGGAGCAGCGAAGGAGAAAGAAAATTACAAAGATAGATGTTGTATAGTCTGTCTATCTAAGTAGTGGTACACGTGGTTTGGTTAATGACAGTTGCAAACCGCGTGTTTATTCACAGGTGAGAAATAAGCCCAATTTTACTGTACAGTATACACTACCGTGTACCAATTATATATAGTAACAATTTACAAAGAGCACACACATGTCAGGATATTGAAGAAAATGAAAAGGCTGAAATTGGCGTAAAAATACAAAAATGCCCATGACAATCATGTGTTCGTCCATACAAACTCCCATTTCTAACATATAGTAATATTAGCATTCTGTTTTGCCACACCCTTATCAACTTTTGTAACATTCTGCTTTGTCATATCCTTCTTTTGGCCTCCATTGCCTACACTATTCTCCTTATGTTTTTTACTACTTTCTTCTTCCGTTTGCAATAGAATCATATTTTCAGCATTTGTTTCCCCTTCATTGACTTCTACGATTCTTATTTTCTCAAGAACTTTACAATTCATCATATTATGCCCAATTTTCCTATAATGCTTGCAATACTTAGGAATATTTTCGTATTCAATTTTTTACGTATACCCTTTCAGAGGTGTCTTCTCATCTTCGGAGCCCACCCACTACTAGGTATGGGTTTCATTAAGTCTATTTCTACCCTTATCTTAGCCATACTAGGCCTTATTCTACCATAAGTAGCAACATCTAAGGCCAACGGAGTACTGCCAATTTGTTTAACATAATGTCATGTATGTATATTTAATGGTATACATGGAAGAAGTACCCATACCAGGACAACTGAAATGTCTTCATCCGTCTTAAAATTCGGTGACCATTTTTGTAGCCACATTTGTAATCTTTCAATTTCGATCACCCTCCTGTACCATACAGTTTGAAGTCATCTTTCATAGGAGAAATCTATTAAAACATTATAGTTATTATAGACTCCAATCTTGGCATCACCTTTAATTGAAAAAAACTCACTGAAACTGGACCTGATCCTTTCGATTTGAGGGCGAGGCTTCAGAAACCTACTAACAATAGTTAATTTGCATTCTTCAGCCATGATTTTGTAATAGTCTTTAGCTTTAAAAATCACCGCCGATATCCCATTGTGAGTAGTTTGTCGAGCAATCACTGATTCTCGAGGGTGTTGGACGGTGGTCGTTGGAGTAACTGTTGCGTTAGTTACAGTGGTGGCATAAGTTAATTTTCCAGCAATTGCTTCAGTAGTTGGAGTCGTCGTAACTGGAGGTTCATTTTGGCTGTCAGTACGCGCCCTTAGGACACCGTCCGACGGTGCCATGAGGCAGAGCGTAGGGTTGACACGTCAAATATGTTACCGTTAAGGGCCAATGTTAGTAATTGTACGGAGAGAAAAAGTTGTTTTCCTTTTTAACTCATTGATGTACTTAATATTTGTATTAGTTATACATTATACTTGGTATTATCCTGTGTATAAGTAATGCATAGAAAACCATGACATTAGTAATACCAAGGATATTAATGCATGCATTAGTATGGTTAAAGATAAAATTGTCCTTAAAGTCCATTAAAGCTAGAGAATTTAGAGGGTATTTTTGTAAACAACTATTTTTCTTAAAAATATGCAATGCATTATAATTTTTAATACACCACACCAAACAGTAGATAAGAAATAATATTTGCATAATTAATGTTTGTATTACTAACCCATGCATTACGAATTCCTGCAATACTAATACACCTTATTCCGCACTATTCTTATACACGCCACCAAACGACCCCTTAGTTTAATGTATCTCTCACTGCCAAAAAAAAAAATTCCCCACCAAAGAAAGACTATGGGGCCAAAAATTAATCGCGTGGTTAAGGCCATAAGGCCAGGGACTATTTCAAAGCAAGTGATAACAGATTTGAGATGCTACTAACACAATTGGAACTTTTGGGTACTAATCATACTTTATGCAAAACATTAGACACAAAATGCAATTAACTTAAGTACATCGTCTTCACCGCTTCTCTCTTTCCACATCCTCAGCTCCTCACTGTAGCTCTTGAATCTTGATTCATCGCTTCTCCAGCANCTATCTTTTTGGAAGGAGACGAATCTTACTGTGGATTATATAAAAAGTACAACCTTATGGCATTTAACTGAACTATAACTGTTATGCTTCAATCTCATCTTGGTAAAGTGTAATACGTTAAAACCCATACTTTCTTCATGTATTCGTTTTTAAATGGACCCCAGATGGCCATCAAAATCAAAGCCTTATGTATCTGGAGCTGATCACAATCGAAAAATGCAAAAAATTGGCATAATAGCAGTGTCTATTGTTTTTATCTTTGTATTGATTGGTGGGTGTTTTGTGTTTAGTCCTAGTTTGGTTTATAATGTTGAGAAAAGTAGTAGTTCATACTTTACAGTTGTAGTGGATTGTGGAAGCTCTGGTACAAGAGTTAATATTTATGAGTGGAAATTACAAGGTAGATTGAATAATAATGGAGATTTGCCAATTTTGCTGAATACTTATCCAGGGAACTTGACAAAGAGTGATGGTTGTCAATACCATTGTATGCAAACTGAGCCGGGTTTGGACAAATTTGTTGGAAATGCTTTGGGCGTTAGATCATCATTGGATCCTTTGCTTCGTTGGGCGGAGCGGTTGGTGCCACGGGAAAGACGGGAATTCACTCCCATTTTTGTTCTGGCTACTGCTGGAATGAGGAAATTACCAGTTGAGGATGCTAGAGTGGTTTTGGAAGACGTCGCTGATGTTCTAAAGGATTTTGGTTTTTTATATAAGAAAGATTGGATTAGGGTGTTGAGCGGGAAGGAAGAGGCGTATTATGGTTGGATTGCTCTAAATTACAAGATGGGGGTGTTGGGTAATTTGTTAGGATCACACACATTGGGTCTTCTTGATTTAGGGGGTTCTTCATTGCAGCTAGTGGTTGAAGTTGATGAATTGAAAATTGATAATCATGTCTTTAATTCAAAGATCGGTTCACCTGAGCATCAGATAGTACGATACTCGTTACCAGCATTCGGTTTGAATGAAGCATTTGACAGGACGATTGTTATGCTTAGTCATACACAAGCACTTAAAGAAAGTCCTGGCGGCGCCTTTAAAGTGAGACATCCGTGTCTTAATTCTGGTTTTGTGCAAAACTATACATGCCTTAGTTGCTTTCAGAGAGAGCCTATAAGTTCAGATTTAGGAAGTCACATCAATGCAAATGCTATACTTCTACTTGGAGAACCTAACTGGGAGATGTGCAAATCACTTACAAGGGCAGTTGCCACAAATTCGAGTAGAGGTGATTGGTCTTTAGTCCATGATCACGCAAGTTGCACTGGCTTGCGTTCATATGGCGGTGAGTCAACTTCTATGATGTATTTTACAGTCTGCTTGAACTTGTGAAATGTTATTTATCATTGAAAGTGTGGCACATGGATGTCGAAATTCCCACTTTTTTCTTTCCCTCTTTTTTGCCGTTGTTGTTGTGTTGGATGTACTTCTGCTCCTTATCATATAAAAATCATAATGTACACTAAATTTGACAAGTGATTAACTAAAAAAGAAAGGAATGGAATCAAAGAAGTTAAAATAATGTGTTTAGTTTCTCTTGTAAAAGGTTTTGTATTCTGCAATTGCACCAGTGTCCCGTCCAAAAGATATTTGCTGTTATCAAGTATGAGTGTTGGAATGGAAAGGCCCTAATGGATTGAGGATATATGTAGGTGACACCGACTAGTTTGGGATTAAGATATGGTTGTTACCTGAAGTAGAGTAGAGATGAAGGCCTCTTACCAATTAAGACCGTGGACTAGTCTGCTTTCCGGAATTGGTAATTGTTCTAATCCTCAAGTTTTTATCATCATGTCATAAATAATTAACTTTGTTAACTATGCACAAGTGGGTTCTTATTATATCTCCGAATTATCCAAAGTGTATAATCAACATTCGAACTTTAGATTAGAAAGTTGTTAAAGGTGCCAAAGTTAGCATACAATCTTTGTGCATGATATGGAATATGGCAAGGTAAGAAAGCAAAGCAAGTCTAAGTGGGTAAGGTAATGGTTGTTGTACTAACCATGATATATCATCCTGATAGACACCTATATAAACAGTGGATTTTCATCAGTAATATTAACTTACTAAATTGTGGCAAATTTTTTGTGCATATTCTTTTTAATAATATTTACTACACACAAATAATAGATTTGGTGGCAGTAAGGAGCGGCTGCTGCATCTAAAAGTAATACTCTTAACTTTTGAGGCTATATCAGGTTTTCCCATCAACTTAGCTAAGAACAGCATATATTTAGTGAATGTAAATCATGTAGTTCTGGTTCGGCTGTGATCTTGGGTGCAAGGTAGATAAATTCCCAACAGTTTATTTAGGATTGCCTTTGGGGAACTAAAGGATGTTGGAGTATGGCAAGGTGTCAAGTTGGCCCTTTGGAAAGTAGTACCTGTCATTTGATGGGAGACTGACACTGATTAACGTGTCTTGGATGGAATCCCTAAATACTGGATGTCCTTGCTTCCTCTGCCACCATTGATGGAAAAATAGCTAAACAAGTTGAGGAATGACTTTCTGTTGGGTGGCAACTCTGGAAGGAAGAAAAGTCATTAGTAAATTTGTGCATCATATCGAAAGACAAAAAAAGAGGCCGCTTGGGGTTGAAAAGTCTGAAGGCTCTTGATAGAAGTTTAAGGCTCCTAATGGAAGTTTACTGCTCCTAGTTCTCCAAATGGTATTGCTTTATGGAAGCATATCAGAAGCCTCTGGCTAGAGTTACAGTGGATTCTTGGAGTATCGCCTCTTTTTTGTATATTATAGGGATGAACTACAAGGACTATGATTCGGAATTGTTTGTACCTTTTTTCAAGGAAGAGTTGAAATAGGATGAACTTGAATTTGAGACCTATTCGAAGTTCTAGAACACTGAATTCTTATCTTATGCCTGCATTTTGAAAAAAATACCAATTGCAGTGGAGGGTTTCTTCAAACAACAAGGACTGCATCAACTATTGAATCAAATATATTGAGCATATTTCCCAAGGAAGCAAGTGGGCTGTCTGATTCTTCCCAGCTGGAATTGGACTAGATTGGCCTCTCTTTGTGATTCCCAGATATTTGATTAATTGCAAGCGCAACTTGAATATGACCCTCTGTTGGATTTTTGTAGATGATACTCTCTCTCTCTCTCTCTCACCCTCCCTCCCCTCCACATCCTCTTCTTTATTGCTATTTTCACATAGCGACAGTTGTAACCTTAATCTTGGTCTTTTTTGGCTTCTTCCATGTCAGTACATTAAACTACGATGAGATATAGTAATTGACTATCACTTTGGCATATTGCTTTTCTTTCACTCTTTTTATGGATTAAAATGTTTTGAATTTCAATTAACACTCCTTAGCTAGGATCTATATTTTGAGAAGAGCTGTGATTGCCCTTTGGTTGCTTTGCCCCCCTCGGGTCATACTTCCATGTGGTCAAAAGTGTGGATGACCCTTGTCTTTTCCGCACAGGACCCTTTGTATCTTGGTATAAAGAGCTTTATAGCTTCATAACTTGCTTTTCCTCACACATTCTTTATAAGCTAGCAGTGTTTTCCTTTGTTTTCCAATACAAGTACATGGCAATTTCCGGTTTCCTTAAAAAAGAGGGGATGTCTACAACGCGTAATTTGTCTTTAAAATAGTGTATTTAGGCTGTTTGGCATGTAAAATCTAGTCGAAAGATTCATAAGCAAGATATTACATGCAGAATTTAGCTTTCTTCTATAACTTTTTCGTAACCATGCATTTTACCCTTCAAACTAAAAGTGTGTTTGAGCTTATGCAGGTTTTATATATCTTCCTTTTGCCTTTTGGTTTCTGCAGGCAATGAATTGCTCAATTTGATGTTAAATGCAAGCTCAGTTACTCGTTATCATGCATTGTCTGGATTTTTCGCTGTCTACCAGACGTTAAATTTGAGTCCAAGAGCAAACTTGACGAGAATGTGGGAGGCGGGTCAACAGTTATGTTCCCAATCATGGGAAGATCACCAAGGTATTGGAGGAGCATATTGTTTCCGGGTTCTGTACATGATATCACTGATTCAAGATGCTCTGTGTCTGGGTAAGCACGAGATCGTATTTGGTCCTGGAGATGTTTCTTGGACATTAGGAGCTGCTCTAATTGAAGGGCAATACCTATGGTCTGATACTACAAAATACCAATATGGCATTTTCTACCTAAAACATAGCAAGATGCTCTCTTCTTCAGTTGCTCTATTTCTTCTACTTTTATGCCTTCTATTGATTGTTTATAGGAGTCAAATTAAGCTGCCTATGCCAGGAAGGAAGCCAACTCCTTCAAGGGCATCCTTGCCCTCTTACATATATTCCAAACGCCAGCCTAACTAATCGCGCATGACTATGTCACATCCTCGCTCCCAAGGGTTAGCTCAATTGGCAAAGGTTGAGGGATACATGTCTTAGCTCACAGGTTTGAGCCCTGCGCCAAGCGAAATAACTCTGGTTTTTAAGTGAAGAAGAGTAGAGCAGCGGAGCGGACCCATCATCTCTGAGTTTAAAAGGCTGCGGTTGGCCCAAAGGGTCGGCTCCAAACAGATTTCTCGCTCATAAAAAAATGTGTCACATCTCCATATTCAAGGTATAAAATATGCATCTATATACTGTTCCACATTTTTCTGTAAAATATTAATTGCTTCATTCGTCTTTCTTCATGTGATTAAGTTGAATGATCTTGTGCAGTCCGTTCCTTAAATAAATATTAACTCGGCAGCATGTCGCTTACAGTCGATTGGAATCTTAGTTCTTGCATAATTTTCACTAATTCTATAAAGTACCTCAAGTTGACAAAAAATAGATAAAGCAAAATCACATCCAACCTTATGTGCTCATGAAGACCATGTCACAATTCAGTAAAATTGCTTTGTCACTTACCTTCCAAATGAGTTATTGAATCATAACTTTATTCAATTTTTAGCAACAAAAAGACTGATAATCCTCGCAAATATTTAATTTTCAGCATTCTAACGTGCTAGTCAGTCATTTCCTTTTTCTTTTTGTTGGACATTTCTCCCTTGAATTGACCGTACAGCTTCAACTGCATTTGCCTGTAAGGCCATACATTGCAGTAATCTTAAATATTACTGGTGCAACTCACTCTTTTTCCACTCGTGCCTCCCCCCCAAAAAAAGGTAAAAAAGAAAAAAAAAATTCATTCCTACGACTGACTGTGGAACTGGGAATTGAAGTCAGGGTCGAAGTTTACTTTCTTTCACACAAGGATACAGTAAATATATCACTTTTTCTCTATAAATAGAGAAGTTCTATTCTACTGTAATTCATCCTAAAAACAATAGGAATTGTCTCTCTCGACTTTTCTTTGCAATACTCAAGATCAAAGTGTAGTTGAGGTCTTGTTCTTTCAAAATTAAGAAGTATGAATATGAAATTGATACAGGCCGGGGATAATTTTGTCAAGACAACAATGGTCAATTGATACAAACCTCAAAATCATTAAACTCTGAACAAGTTCAGTAGGCACGCAAGGAGAATATTTCTTGATGTCTTCAGAGTGATGCTGGGAATGGTCCACTTGCATTTTCTTGCTTGTTGCCTTATTACCCAGCTCAAGCAGTGTGGTGTTTTTTAAGGTATGTGAAAGATTTTGATGCAGAAAATCCTGTTGCTATTTTGTAGTGTCGCTACGAATTGGATTATTGATTTTACTTTACAATAATTTTATAAACTAAATTTCTTGTATTAAAAGATATGCTTGTACTCTAATAGATTTTGAAAGAAATTATCACCACCTGAAGTGATAAAATTTTGATGTCTTGTCATGAGCAAACTCATATATGATTGTGAACACCAATAATAAAAATCCGTCCCATTGAATTTGCTCAATTCCTTTAAAGAAATGTGGTAGCAGTATGTGATAAGTCTGAAATAAAACATAATATAATTACCGTTGAGGTATAAATGGATGTTGACATGGAAATTGACAAAATTATAATCGTCATTATTGTGGTAATGAGAACGTCACGATCCAAGTTCTCCCTCCGTGAACTGTCGTGACGGCACCTAGTCTTTACAGCTAGGCAGGCCTAACAATTTGCGGAAAAAAGAAACAAAGATACGAAACTAGAAATTTACGGGTAATATAATAGAAAAGTTTAAGATGCCGCTTGACATATACAATAACAGCACTCTCGATCAATACTAACACTCCCAAAATCCGGAATCTCATGAATCACAAACTAGAGGAAATACATAATGTCTAACTCCGGAAGTCTAAACAAAGTAATTACAAAAGGTCTATAACTAAACGAGAGAATAGAGAGGGACTCCTCGGTCTGCATACGCGGCAGATATACCTCGAAATCTCTGAGAATCGCCTCGCCTCACTAATAGTATGATTGAGTTGAAGAACCTGGATCTGCACAAGAAAAACATGTGCAGGAAAGGGTATGAGTACACCACAACGGTACCCAATACGTGCCAAGCCTAACCTCGGTCGAGTAGTGACGAGGAAGGTCACGACCCTACTAGTTATATACATAAAACAAAGTAAAACAGTACGAAAGGTGACAGTATAATTAAAACACTAACAGTTAATAGAGAACAAAATCATAGAAAGAAAGTAACTCAGTATACAGAGATAGCAACAAGGGATCTCTCAGGATATCGTCCCATACTCCCAAACGTAAATGTACAGAGGATCTCCCGGGATATCGTCCCGCAGTCCGAATCATAAATATGCAGGGAAAGCTTCCGGAATACCAATCCGTAGTCCCAAGTAAATATCCAGTACATGGGAATCTCCCGGGTGTCGTCCCGTAGTCCCAAACGTAAAAGTGCAGGGAGATCTCCCGAAATACCGATCTGTAGTCCAAAATTAAACATGCAGGGGGATCTCCCGGGATATCGTCCCGTAGTCCCAAAGTAAACACACAACAATCTCAGAAAGAATTTACAGTTCTATTCGAGAATTAAATAGGAAATTCTACCCTAACACGTTGCACAGAGTACAAGTAAGTAATTTAAGTAGGTGAGATAATTAAATCACATAAGCATGCTTTTCCTAAACTAAACAAGAGGCTTCAAGTACAATTATTGCTCAATTACAAGAAAAACACATATATTTATTAAATGAAAATGGGGTGACGTGTACACACTCGTCACCTCACGTACACGACACTCATATAACATCAATACCAAAATCTTAAGGGGAGTTCCCCCACACAAGGTTAGGCAAACCACTTACCTCGAACCAGCTCAAACTCAATCTGAAATCACGCTCTTGCCACGAGTATCCAACTCCGAGTGGCCCAAATCTAATCAAATCAATTTCATAATGTAATATAACTATAAACAACGAATTTAGCTAAGGGAGTCGAAGCTAAGGTAAGAAAATAGAAAAACGCCCAAAAATCCTCCCCGGACCCATGCCTTGGAATCGGGTAAAAATTATAAATTATGAACACCCACTCACTCACGAGTCTAACCATACCAAAATCACTCGAATCCAATACCAAAACCTCGATCAAAATCCCAAAATTAGTCCTAAGAACGTTTCTCAACTTTTTCTCAAATTTTTCATTCAAATTCCGAAATTAAACGATAAAACTAACAATAGATTAATGTATTAAAACCAAATTAGAGTTCAGATTCATTACCCGATCTTCCTCCTTCAAAATCCCTCCGGAAATCGCCCTCTATCGAGCTTCAAATTGATTTTCCAACTTATGAACTCAAACCCTCGATTTTTCTCTTTTTCTGCTCAGCGATTTCCGCTTCTGCAATCATGGGACCGCACCTGCAGTCCCGCTTCTGCGGCAAATAACCCGCACCTGCGATATTTTATTAAATGCCCAAAACCCCGCACCTGCGCCCACTTACTCGCAGATGCGGTCCGCTTCTGCAGTCCTTGGGCTGCATTTGCGACCAACTCTACCCAAGCCTTAGGCCGCGCCTGCAGTTCCCAAATCGATTCCGCGGTGCCGCACCTGTGGTCCCACACACGTAGGTGCGGTTATGACAGGTTCAACAACCTCAGCTTTTGCCTTAGTCCAAATTCCAATCCGTTAAGCATCCAAAACTCACCCGAGGCCCCCGGGACCTCAACTAAACATGCCAACCAATCCTAAAACATCATACGAACTTAGTCCAATCTTCAAATCACATCAAACAACTCTAAAACCACGAATCACCCTCTAATCCAAGCCTAAAGAACTTGAAATTTCAAGAATACTACAACCGATGCCAAAACCAACCAAACCAAGTTCGATTGACCCCAAATTTTGCACACATGTCACATTCAATACTGCGGAGATATTCCAACTTTCAGAATCGGATTCCGACCCCGATATCAAAATTTCACTATCGATCCGGAAACTTCAAAAATTCAACTTTCGGCATTTCAAGCCTAAATAAGCTACAAACCTCCAAAACATAATCCGAACACGCCCCTAAGCCCGAAATCATCAAACGGAGCTAACGGAATCGACAGAATTCCATTTCGAGGCTGTCTTCACACTGCTCCGACTACGGTCCGAATTCTAAAGCTTAAGCTCCCATTTAGGGACTAAGTGTCCTAAAACGCTCCGAAACTCAAAAAAAATCCTCCCAGCAACTCACAATAGTAGAAACAAACACAGGGAAAGCAGTTAATAGGGGATCGAGGTGTAAATTCTTAAAATGATCGGCCGGGTCGTTACTCCTCCCCCTCTTAACATATTCGTTCGTCCTCGAACGAGCATAGAGACATACTTGAAGTAGTGAAAAGATGAGGGTAACGACTGCGCATATCCTGCTCGGTCTCCCGGGTCGCCTCCTCAACCGGATGACCCCGCCATTAAACTTTCACTGATGCAATGTTCTTTAACCTTAGCTTTCGAACCTTCCTGTCCAATATCGCCACTGGCTCCTCAACATAAGATAGATCTTTGTCCAACTGGACTGAATTGAAATCCAACACATGCGACGGGTCACCGTGATACTTCCGGAGCATCAAAACATGAAATACCGGATGAACTCCTACCAAGCTGGGAGGTAAGGCAAGCTCATAGGCAACCTCCCCAACGCGCCTCAATACCTTAAAAGGACCATTAAACCTCGGACTCAATTTCCCCCTTCTTCCTAAATCTCATAATTCCCTTCATAGGCGAAACCCGAAGCAAGACCTACTCTCCAACCATATAGGAAACATCACGAACCTTCCGGTCCGCATAACTCTTCTGTCTGGACTGGGCTGTGTGAAGTCTATCCTGAATCACCTTAACCTTCTCCAAGGCGTCCTGAACCAAGTCTGTGCCCAATAATCTAGCCTCACCCGGCTCAAACCAACCCATTGGGGATCTACACCGCCTACCATACAAGTCCTTATACGGTGCCATTTGAATGCTGGACTAATAACTATTTTTGTAGGCAAACTCTGCCAATGGCAAGAACTGATCCCAAGAACCTCCAAACTGCATCAGACACGCACGGAGCATATCCTCAAGAATCTGAATATTGTGCTCGGACTGTCCGTCCGTCTGGGGGTGAAATGTTGTGCTCAACTCCACCCGAGTACCCAACTCATGCTGTACGGCCCTCCGAAACCGTGATATGAACTGTGTACCTCTATCTGAAATGATGGAAACTGGAATACCATGCAGACGAACAATCTCCCAGATATAAATCTTTGCCAACCGCTCCGAAGAATAGGTAGTACACACATGAATGAAATGCGCAGACTTGGTCAGCCGATCCACAATCGCCCAAATGGCGTCGAACTTCCTCAAAGTTCGTGGGAGTCCAACTACGAAGTCCATGGTGATCCGATCCCACTTTCACTTCGACATCTCTATCTGCCGAAGCAGACCACCCGGCCTCTGGTGCTCATACTTTACCTACTGACAATTGAGGCACTGAACTACAAACCCAACTATATCTTTCTTCATACGCCTTCACGAATAGTGCTGTTCAAATCCTGGTACATCTTCAGGGCACCCGGATGAATGGAATACCAACATTGGGCACACATACTCAACCTTGCATCTTCAATACCCCGTCATCACCAATAGTCACATCAATCACCATGCAGAACCTTGTCCTTGAGGATGAGCAAATGAGGGTCATCATATTGATGCTCTCTGATATGATCAAACAAGGAAGACCGAGAAATCACGCAAGCTAGAACCCGACTGGGCTCTGAAAGATTCAATCTCACAAACTGGCTGGCTAAGGCCTGAACATCCATCGCCATGGGCCTCTCCGCTGCTGGTAAATAAGCCAAACTCCCCAAACTCTCCCCCGATGACTCAAAGCATCAGCCACCACATTGGCCTTGCCTGAGTGATACAAGATAGTGATATCATAGTCCTTCAGCAGCTCTAACCACCTCCTCTGGTGCAAATTAAGGTCCTTCTGCTTGAACAGATGCTGCAAACTCCGGTGATCTGTATAGATCTCACAAGGAACACCATACAAATAATGACGCCAGATCTTCAAGGCATGAACAATAGTAACTAACTTGAGATCATGGACAAGATAATTCTTCTCATGTACCTTCAACTGTCTGGATACGTAGGCATTCACCCTACTGTCCTGCATCAATACCACTCCAAGGCTAATCCTCGAGGCATTACAATAGATAATATAAGACCCTGAACCTGAAGGCAATATCAAAACTGAGGTTGTAGTCAAAACTATCTT